CTGGAAGACTTGGAACCATTAGAAAACAGTGATGTAGAACCTTAAGAGACTGGTGATCTGAGATGCTCAGGGGATTATGACTTGAGACCCTCTGCAACTGATGACATGAAACCCTGAAGAATGAATGACCCAGGACCCTCAGAGAATGGAGACTAAAGACTTCCTTTGGGACATTTTTAAGGGTTGGAGACTGAGTGGAATCTTCCCAGACCCTCTCAAAGMCAGGCAGTAGATAGATGTCCTCCTGGTCCTCTCAGTGACTGAAGATTGTGATGAGGCCCTCAAAAAGGCTGGAGACAACAGCATCCAGGTAATCTGGTTTCCTCCCACAAACCAAAARCATGCATGCTAGGTTAACTGGTGACTAAACTGTCACTAGATGACACTAGGTTGAATGGTTGCCTGTCTTATTTGTCTTTATGTATCCCTGTGATGGACAGGATATGTGTTTCAGGTGTTCTTTACCATTTTGTACAAGGACTGCTAAAGACAGACATCAAAACAGGTAAAGAAAATGGATGGAAGAAAATTTCTTACCACTACAGTAAGTCAACAAATAACCAATCAACCCTTCCATGGGGCTTTGAATTCTCCTTTAGCCAGCATTTTTTTTTGTGAGCTTTATTTTCTGCTGCTGTATTTTTAGAGTCCACAGACTTCTAGACATGACCCTTCTGCTAGTAATTAAGACCTGGGTGAAGTTATCTGCAAAGAATTCAGTGACATGYATAGGTGAAAGTGAGAAAATAAAACGGAGTGAACTTTAGAGATACTGACCTAAAAGTARTTGAGAGTTTGGCCCAACACACTTCCTGAGTGTAACATCTCATGCTGAGATTGTGCACAACGTAGTGTAAGGTTTGACCGAAGCAGCCGCAAYGCCATCATTTCTGAACATAAGGAGATSTTAGTGTAAAACTCAAGGMAGCAGGCAATWTGCATTMCTGMTTCTTTATTAAAAAAAGAAMAGAAAAAGTCCTGTATCAGTGAATCTTTATGGYTTGAGGAAAACTCTGATCTAGTGTTAAAAGCTATGAGAGAAACTGGCAAGGATGGACAAATCTGAGAAAAAAACTGACATTTTTCTGCTCCACATGTATAAAGTGAAASATGATGAGCCATGTGGAACATGAACCTGCAGCGCAGCATGGAATTCATTTTATTTCCACTCAGGAGACGAGACAGACGTGCAGAAAAACTCCCAACATCATCTCTTCATTTACAGATCAAATTAAGCCTATTAGTGCCTCTAAATTAGACCTCTTACAGGGAGTGTGGGATGATGAAGACATGAGGAAATCTGTCAGGCTGAGTTTGAGTAACTTCCAGCATCATCATAAACCTGTAACATGGTTCTCTGTTCCTTTGGGKGAATCTCAGTAAATGTGTGAACAGGAAGCTGCAGGAACCTGAAACATGGAAACACTGAGCAAACAGCAGGTTCAGAAATGTTGTTTTATGTTGTAGCCCTTTTATTTTTGAAGTGAAAAGTAACWGTATAATTCAATAGAATATTGTTGATTTAGGAAAAAAAAACTGAAAATCACATTTCTAAAAGTATTCAAAGATTTGAAACTCAGCTCAGGTGCTTCTTATTTCCAAGCTGAGATGCTTCTCTCAAGCTGCCATGAGGTAAAAATGACCTGATAAAACCTGTCATGTCCTGAGTTTTCATGTCACAGCAGGATCGTTAGTTTAAAAGGACGTTACCCCTCTCCCACTATGTCATCCTAACTAGTTTAGTTTTTAAAATGACCATCCCAAACTATCTGAATACATATTGATGTTACTGTACAGCACTTTTTAATACACCTCTTTTTATGAACCGAACTAATTTAGAACTGTGTGTTTTTATTGCATGTAGACTTATTTTGTAAACCTACCACTCTGCACAAAACAGATCTCGTCTGATCTTGGAAGCTAAGCAGSGTTGGTCCTGGTTAGTACTTGCATGGGAGACTATAAAAAGTAATGGTAGCTTTTGGACAATTTACGTTTGTTGCAAAGGCGCTAACAATTTAGCCAATTATTATTTTAATACTTAAGCAGTTGATATCTCTGTAAAGCTTAAAGTAAACATAAAGGACTTAGTTATTGTCCACTGCAACTTTGATTAGCTTAAGATAGTGTTAGGGTCATGACACGGTACTGCTAGCAAATGCAGCCGTTTGATTGGTGAGTTGAGAAAGGACCCTGTTCCATGGACCTCACTGATTGGTCAGTTGAGTAGCTCAACTTGATCAAGGAGGCTCAATGATAGGTCGGTTCAGGCTCAACATAGGGACTTGGGGGAGAATGTGCCTGGGGATGCCAAGTGCTGTAAGACCAGTGTAGGAGTTGTGCCCAAGGGTAGACTGGCATAAAAGCCTACCAGGAGTTTTCCTGGAGGGCCAAAAAAGTAGAGACAAGTAGATCAGCTCATTAAAGGGAACCAGATCTTGATGAGCCATTTGATTTGGAATGAGTGACATTAACAAGGCCTCGGCAGACCTTGATGGCATATTGAGGGGGCTTGCTAATTAAGCACTACTTAGGTTCAGCTGTGTTGAACCAGGGCAGCTCCTAAAACATGCAGAACACTGGCCCTTGAGGACTGACTTTGAACACTACTGAGATATTATATATACTGTATATATA